CTCTTAAGGCTGACCTCCATAATTCAAGTTTACCTTCAACTCCCTCTCTTGTCTTATCAACAAGAAGAATATCATAAGCAAAAAAGCATAAAATCACTGATTTGAATGACCTAAACTAAATATAACAAACAATTCCAAACTCACAGATATCTAATAAATTAATCAATGTCAGTGAGTAGAATCATCTCTAAAATTTTTCATTCATTCAACTTTCAAGCTTCTAATATGCATGGGAGTTTATCTGCATACCATCAAACTGTCATTATATACATACCTTAATGGCTTAATGCGCTTTATGTATTACATCAAAACATAGGATTGTTGATTTAAATAATGATTTCACTCAGTTTCAACCTTATCTTTAACTCTACCTAAAACAACATCCATATAATATTTAATGCGCTATAATGTTCAATGTCATAAACAACTTTAATGCACGGTTCAAATATAAAAGAAAAAGAAATGGCATGATATACAAACCATATATTTGATATGGAAATAAATTTTTGAGCATATATTTATCTTTTGCATTAAGTATAATCAATATGAAGATAAATTAATTGAAAAATAATATGATATAAGAATAAGTGAGGTAATCTTACTGAAGGAAATCTTCATGGAAATGTTAAATGTACAAATAATCTATGCATTATATTTGTCTAGTGTACACGTATTAACATACTATATATTTTTAAATAAACTTTATTTCTTAGCATGAAATATCTTATTTTATCTTAGAATATGTCATGTATTGTCTAGGTTTATCGATTATCATGAGAGGATTATATCAGACCAACACCAAATATCATAGGGTAGAAAACCTAGGTAGAATTCTACATCATAAAGTTGAAAGAAACCTAAGTGTAAGTGTGTAACCCAACATTATTGTTATTGAACTACATGAGGAACCTTGCACCTTAAAAATGACTCATCTTTGTTGTCGTACATGTAAGGTTATTATAGGCATATCATTGTCCTATCCTACATAACATGAATTTTTCTTAGCATCATTTCATTTTCATTGTTATGCATTTAAATGCATACAGCGTTCATTTAAAACAACTTAATCAATTATGAGCATCAATATGTAAATTAGAAGTGCTAGTAGTCATACTACTTTTAAAATGCATATTTTTATAAATATAAAAATACACGTAATACTTCAAACTTTTGATTGGATATTTTAAAATTGACACTTGATCATTAATTTGTAGGATACAAACATGCACCTTGTGATATGAAAGACTTCTAATGCATTTCTTACATACAAATTTAAATCAACATAAATTTACTTGCAAGAGACAAAGAAATATGCTAAATGAATTAAAAATAGAGCATCTTATCCAGCAGACGGTTGGAAATAGGACAAGCCTCATTGCAGCGATCACTGAAAACCTTGTCCTACTGTAAACGATTTAAGTAATGCAAAATTTTTAATTTATCACATTCCCCAGCTTACAGATTAAATCTAAATTAAAATTTTCTTGAAATATTCTTTTTCACATACAAGCATTGTAGTCTTCCATAATAATCATGATAAAAGGAGGTGAACCGTCCATGGTTGCTTTTTCTACCATTACCAAAATTTATTTAACAATTCTTAAAAATACAAGATACGGGTACGTCGCAAACACGGCATTATAATTTATAAATCATACATAAAAATTAAGAAAGCAATCAAAGCATAATATTTGAATGTGATATAGAAGTTCAAAGACAAACCACTCAAGAAAAAATAAGCATTGTAGCTTACAAAAAAAAGCATTCTTCTATCTTACAAAAAAAAAAAGAAAGAAAGTAACATCATTTATAGCATTGTAGCTTATAATATCAAAATAAAAATAAGCATTAAATATCTAGTACAACAACAAAAACATAAACATAAATTGTCTATCACATGAAGTTTCAACTATTCAATAGAAGGAATGATATGATTAGCTTCTTGAGTGGTTTGTCTTTGAACTTCTATATCATCTTCAATAAATATCATAGCTTCTAATTCAGGCTCGTCAAGTGAAAGATTAGCAATTTCTAATATTCTCATATCATCAAGAGACTCAAATCCATCTCGAAAATGAGAGAACCTCGCTCGCAGTCGTAGAAGTAAATATGACAGGGTTTTTTTTTTCGTTTTTTTTTTTCAATGGACACGCGTATCGAATACGTGTGACCTTTTGAAATTAAATAGTATTTTAATTGGATACGGCAAAGCCGTTGATGAGGACATTGATCAGAGGTTCAAACATGTGTATCGCCGGAAGCATCGCAGATCGACGGCCACGATTCAAAGTTTATATTTTTAATTATTTATGCATTTTATTTTCTTTGAGTCTTCCTATTGTACCCCTATTATGAGTTGAGTCATCTTGTAGCCCAATTTAGTCTTTGTTCCTTCTTTTATGATGAGACCTATATATAGGTCAATTTTATTGTAATGAGGGGATGATTATTTTGAATGAAATTTTATTGTTTGTCTTCTTCTTCATCTTGTGTGTGCACTGGAGAGAAGAGAGAGAGCCAAAGGTAAGGGTGAGCACAATACCCACCAGTCATTGGAAGAGTCTGTGACTCGTGGTCTACTTCCTCCATCTCCATTCATCTTTTCTTCCCCCACCCGCCGGCCCAAACTTTCCCCCAAGCCGCCGGCCACATATCCTTCCCACCTAACCCCTCGACTACCTTCCTACCACCCTTAGATCCTTGTTACCACGCCCTCACCCAATCCACCCACCGGCCAAGAGCTCATACCCACCGGCCAAGTCCCTCTCTCCGAGCTCCACCGCCGGCCATCCATTAAAATCCTCCCCTTATGATGATTTCAATCATTTTAACCCCATGCCAAAATTAGCTCCAAGAGAAAGGAAAGAAATTATCACAATTTGAATTTTGAAATTCAAATTTCAAAAACTTTCCTTATTTGACAATCCTAATACTTAAATCCAAATCGTTTTGAATTCAAATTCAAAAGGATTTCATAATAAACTTTCCTAAATCCTAAGTGCTGATTTGGAAACTCATAATTTGCTCCCACACTCTCCCCCTCTCTCTACATGCCACCGGCCATGCTAGGGTGGAATCCCCTTTAATGCTCCTTCAATGCAATCAATACACTTGATTCCAAAATTCAAATTCAAATTAAACTCCCTCCAAATTTACTCAAATCTGAAATTAAATTCAAATTTTGATTAAATCTCTTAAACACTCCATCCAAACCTAATCTCCCCAAACCCTAGCCCTCTTCCCCCTTGAAACCGCCGGCCCCTCTCCCTCCTTCTCCCGCCGCCCATCTCCCTCCCCACCGTCATCTCTCTCACTTCTCATACTATGATGAATGGACGATCCCGAAGTTGATAGTGGACTTGTACTCGACGCCTACGGAGACATCCACATCGTTCAATCACCCTTCTTCGACGTCGGATTTGGTTTTGTGACAACACCGTTGAAGATTACTTGAACCGAATCCTCCCCACCCTCATGGATGTCATTGACAACCAATTCTCAGACTACGAGTGGACCATCAACGGCCATCCACCCGAGCCACCTCCGCCTCCGACTACTTCTCCACCACCGTCGACCTTTCCGTGGATTAAGGCTATTGGTGTCGCAACCGTCCTCGTGGCATCGTTGGGTGTGCTGCAGACTTTCTCCCGCTAAAGCCTAGTAGTCGAGTGATCATTCCCCAAGGTGAAAACTCTCATTATTAAATCGTGGATTGTTGATTAAAAGCTTTTAGTATTGCTACTATCTTTGTTTATCTATGAGATTTGGTTAATCTACATGTACTCCTTCGTCTAAACAAGTGGAAAACTAAGATTCTTTAATGAATTTGCTTGTTATTACAATAAGTTATTGATTTGGATTACATTGCCAATTATTCTTAAATTTCTTAATAAGCTCCTGTGCATTTGGTTTCACATCAACCGTATACGACAGTATCAGTGCCATATTGGAGGCGTATCCATTTGTCGGTGTATTAGATACAACATGCCTTCATAAATAGGTGTATCGGTGCAACATAGCTGCTAGATGTAGAGTACATATGCCATCCTGTTTCATCTTTCTACCCTGACTACAAAGCCAGATACAAAGGCTATTAGGTCATGACCAAGAAGCAACGAGTAGAACTGAGCACATTATGATAGGTTCATGGAAAATTATAATCCCCATCTCATGATAGTGCAACGTATCTTTATTATTTTTTTCAACTAAAGACTGAAACTGAATTTCATTTCATGAAGTTGATTTTAGCCACTTTCCAAAAAATGAACTATAAGATTTTTTTTTTTTTGTCGTTTAACTTCACTTGTCATTGTTGCTGCTCACTCCACTCTGATTGCATTGCTGCTGTTCGCCTTCCTATTTCGAGTCTCCTAGGGTTTTGAAACGTGATGAGCAGTTGGCTGCAAAGCTACCTAGTTTGTTTTGATGTTGGTAAAACTTGAGGCTATGAGCACTTGATAGATGTAATTTAAATTTAAAGTTTACGTACTTTTTTATTCATTTTCATTTTAGATCATGCTTTCTTTCCAATCAAGTTGCTTGCTATGGACATTTTTCTTTGGGAGAGCTATTAACATAAAATTCTTTTCATAAATATTTATATATCCATCATAGAGACTATGCATAATGTATGGAAATATTATTATTTATGGAATTGAGCTTTAAACCTCCCATCTTGAAGTTAAGGGTAATACCACTGGGACATGCAGTCAGTGGTATGGAAATACTTTACCATCGTGAATTATCTTCATGATCTTAGATATGTTTGGGTTGGAAGGAAACGACAAATTTAGGGTGCTATAATTTTCCCCTAATGGTTCTCCCTTCCTATTCTTATTTTTTGTCCACCTAGGAAAGAATGACATGAATGATTTGCATTTTATTTTAAGTGATTACCCCCAGTTCTCGTAGATTATTTGATGAAAGATTATTTCCAATGCATATTGTTAGAAATATAGTGGAGCATTTCATTTACCGTTTAACATTTTTATCATGATTAGGCGGTCTGCAAATTACCATTTATTGAAGAATCTCGCCTTCTTGCTGAAATAGAAAAAGTAGAGCACACTTTAACGGTATAATGATGATCTTTTCATCATTTTTTTTATTGACAGTTTTGCTTGTTCACTGGTACTTTTTTAAAATTTTAATTGTTTATCTAATTGTGCATTGCTTTAGGAGGAGGAGAAGCTAAGAAACAGCTGGGCTTTGGATATGCTATTTGTTCATGTTTCACATCCCTTATCTTCAAAATTTCTTTCTTTCATTAGACGGAAAAAGCATCATCCAAAGTTGTCCATGACTAAAGTCAGAAGAAAAATTGATCCAGAATTCAGGTTTGTTTGGGAAAAAGCTTCGATGTGACTTGTTTCTGGTCTCCTAAAGCACATTTTTATCTGAGCTTGAACATTATGGAATATGTCAATTGGAATAACACAGATTTTTTTTATTGAGAATTTTTTTTTATATAAACTAATTGACGTAGGATGTCGTAGTGTTTAGGATTTCTGATATAGATTTATAATGAAAAGCGCAAATTCATACAACATGCACATCTCTTAATTTTCAACAAATAAACTTCACAGGTCGTAACCTTAAATTTTTTATCGATGTTGTTATTTGCGATGAAAATTTAATTACAACAAAATTCAACAAATGATAATTTAATAATTTATTATTAGAATAAGTCTTACAAATTCAGAAATAGGAAATCATATGATGAGGACATCAGTAGAAGATTCCAACGCATCTATCACAGGAGACATCGCAGATCGATGGCCACGATCAGGAGTATTTATTTATGAGTTATTATATGTTATTGAATTAGTATTATTTTCATTATTTCTTTTATTTGACCTTTGTACTCCTATGAGGGAGTTTAGTGAGTTGTAGTCCGGAGGGCATATGTGTCTTTAAGTTTTATTTATTTTTGAGGCCTATATATGACAGTCTTAGTCTTTGTATTGGTTTTTAATGATTGATTAATAAAATTTCTGATTTTCTTCTCTCGAGCTTGTGAGTTCTTGAGTGGTGAAGTCCCAAAGGAGTGGGCAAAGCAATACCCACTAGTCGCGGAGGTGCTTCGGACTCGTGGTCCGACTTTTCCCTCAGTTCAAGCCAACCACCATCCCCTCCCCTTGGTGCCAAGTCGCCGACTAGTCCCTTCCCCACCGCTGGCCTGCTCTCCCACTGGCCCCCTCCATTCTTCCCTTAAACCGAACCCCCATCCTCCACCCAAGCCGCCGGACATCCCACACCACCGGTCTAGCCGCCGTCCTCCACCCTCCAATTGCTAGTTTCCCTCCCTTGTTCTCCCTTAGCCGTCGGCCTACCTTGCCCCAACGTTTGAATTTCAAAACTCAAACTATTTTAATTACCTTCCTAAATTAACCCATTAGCATTTAGGAAAGTACCCTTATTTGAATTCAATTAAATATTTGAATTCTAAATACTTTATATTGTTAAAACCCAATTAGGAAGCTTCCCTAATTAAATCAAATCTGAAATTAAAATTCAAATTTGATTCCAATCCATAATTACTTCCTATGGGGCCCACATGCATTGAACCTAGACATATATTCCCCTCCCCATATGGCCGACCCCCTCTACCTTCCTTTTTCCCTCCCCAATCAACTCCTTAATTCAAATTAAATACTCCCTAAACCCTCCTAAACCGTCGGCCCCCTTGAGCTATTTTGGGAATAGTTTGGGAGATTAAATCACCCCTTTTCTCTCTTAGAAAAAATTCTGAAATAAATTTCTAATTTTCTAAAACCTCTTCTCCACCTCCCTAGCCTTAAACCCTAGCCGCCCCTTCCCTTTTTCCCCTCTACCCGAGAAACCCCACCACCAGCTCCTCCCCTCCCTTCACTCTTTACTTCCGCCGGCTCCTCCAAGGCTCATAACAAAGACGACTCCCATGTTTATGGATGGCCGATCCTGAAGTCGACCACAAATTTGCATACAGCTCTCAAGGACAAATCGACATCCTTCAATCGCCCTTCTTTGATCCTGACTAGGGATTTGAAGATTCCGTTGAAGGCTACGTAGATCGCATACTCTTTCATCTCGTTGAGGCGATCGACGAACAACGACCATCCGGACAATGGAAACTCGTCGGTCATCCACCTGCGCCTCCTTCTCCGGCTACTCTCCTGTGGATCAAGACTGTCATCATCGTAACTTTCTTCATGGCATCGTTTGGCTTGCTGAAGATCTTTCTCCGCTAAAGCCCTATAAAGCGTGAGTGAGGAAGGAAAGGTGAAAGCTCTTGATATTAACCTGTGGATTATTATTACGAGTACATCAAGTTTTATTGTATTTTTTTATATTGTTTTAAATTGATCTATTCTCCTAAAAGTGTAACTGCATGCCGGAGCAAAACCTTAACGAATAATTCTTAAATTATTTCCTATGGTTTATGAATCTTAAAGAAGCGAGCTTACAATAATTTTATTATTTCCCTACAGTTCCCGGTGGTTTCACATCGCCATACTATCTAGTTAAGAAACGATGCACTTGTAAACCCTAGATTATATTGATCTTGAATAAATTTGTCACACATGCAATCCAATACTATGTTTTAGAAAATTAAAAAGATAAAAGGACATAAGTCATTAATCAACCATCCAAGGATATAACCTCTCTTGGAAATCTTACTATGTTCACTAGTTATGGTGGATATCAAAAACACGTTGTGTGGTGGAGAGACAAACTTGTATGTGAATGTTCATGGATATTTCTTTTAGGGATCTGCAATATCTAATGGGAGAATATTGATTGAACAATTTTTCAATGTCAAAATTTTCAAGCATGGCAACATTTATATGGAGAGACCTCTCTTCTTCGGACTCATCGCACGCTCCTTTTGGAGGATCTTCAACGACATCTTAAGACCACTTTCTCCATCAGTAGGGTAGGGAAACCTCATTCGAGATTTATATGATATTTTGTTGCCTTTTATTATAATAATTTTATGAGTTATGCGTTTGGAGGGATTTTTTGTGTGGGTGGCGATTGACTACTTCTAGTCTACTTTGTGATTATTAATAAGGGTTAATCAATCAAGTTCTTTTTTGAATAAAATTTGAATTGGATGTGTTATTTCTTCTAGTATACCTTTTGATCAAGTGAGAGGCTCGAAAATTTCCGGGAGAGTTAGAAGGCATGATGTGGTGGCTTATATCCTTCTACCTTATTTTTTTTCTCTTTTTGTTTGTCAATGTTTATACATTATTGAATTTATTCAAGTTGGATACAATGTGTGATTCTACAGGTGCATGTTTTGTAAACTAAATTGTATCCCATCATACATCAAATTTTTAACGAATAATTTCTTAATAATTTTCTTGTGAAATTTTGTGTATTTTACAAGATATTTCATATTTCATTGTGTATCTGTATTATAAATTTTTAAACCCTAAGGTCTTTTAATAAATTTTATGTGTCTCAGGATCTAGGATTTTGATTTGGATTTACGATAAAATGCACAAATTCATGCCACACACAATTGGAATTTTGCATGTCACAACTCTTAATTTTTCTCAATTATTTTTCGCTTGCATTAAAAGGAGTAATGTTTTAAAATTTGACTTTGATGGCAATTAAATAGTTTTTTTTCTTAAATTAACATGTAGAAACTTAGAAGCATGAAAATGATACAATCTATTTAAGAAAACATGCACTTGTTGCAAATTTAATAAATTCATTCACATTAAAAGCAGTTATGAGATTTAAAGAAGAAATAAGATAGAATGAAATAGCTCACCAAATTATGCCTCTCACTTTTAGGTGATAATTTTTCTTGGAAATCTTTAAGTATATCAATTGATCAAGGAGTTGATTCAAAGAAATAATAAATTAAATCAAATTTGTATGAAAAAATAAAGTACTTTTTTTGGACATCACACCAAACCCTTATTTATGGTTACTAAATCTCCTTATGTTTTCCTAAAAATATCGCCTCCAACAAGTCTCCCACTATTAAAAAAAAATCTATCCTACACAGAAGCCTCTAACCTTTTTGGAACTGCAAATACCTACATAAAAAAATTATGTTAGTCACTTTACTCGTAAAGGCATTGTAACAAAAGGTAGTCTTTATTGGAGTATAATAATCACACATGGATGTCAAACTTTACTCAAGAATGCCCACATAGTCAAAAGCCTGAAATATATGCTTTCATCATTAGAACGGCCTAATAGTAGACAAGGAATCCCCTGAAAAAAATTGAGTGCCTATAGTGAGTGGGACATAATATGCTTCTCCATTGCCAAGGAAGCATTCCATGTTTAGATATGGTAACAAAATATAGTAAAATCTTATACAAGGCCACCCAAACTTGCTTCCAAAGATGGAATTCATAGGGTGCTATCGAAGATATCGTTGGAGGAGAGGAATTATTCCCTATCATTACTCTTTTGGGGAATACATACATAACATTTAAATCTTTGATCTTTACAAAACCTACCACCCATGTTAATTTTTTGAATTACCAAACTCTTCCATGCGCATGCCACAATCAAATCATTGGTAATTTGACAAAAGCAAAAAATACTTGTTGGAGTTTTAGTGTGAATTCCGATATTTGAGTGTCAACTTCAAAAACGGAGGTAGGAGGATGGTAATTTTGTAAAAAAAATAATTTTTGGGTGTTATGTATGTAATTATCTCTTAAACTTTTTTTAGCAATAGCAAATTACACAATATTTTGCATTGATGAACTAGCTAATTGTATATAATTTTTGAATAACCTTTTATTATTATTTTTTTGCTTTTTACTATTATATACCTCATGTATTTCTTATTATAGATCATATGTATACTAATATTGAATGAACCAATAATCTAGAGAGTTTTCATCTGATGATTACTAACTCAGAGAAGTAAAAATGGTCCCTGGACTATATATGGGGGATGTTCTTGTCCCAAACTATCTTATGATTATTTTAATTCTTTATTCTTCAAAGATAATCCAAAAAATCCATCTAAGGGGCTTTTTTATATCATATTTGAAGAGTCAATAGATTAATATGAACACATCATATAGTTTGGACTAAAATAACCCCTTACAATAGTTTGGGGATTATTTTGACAATTTTCTCTTACTGTTTTATTTTAATGTATAACTTTGCTTTAATGGAGGCTCAATTATGGTGCTTAGAATGATTGTCCTTACATTTTTTGTTGGGATATTCTAGAAAATTTTTTCTATCTGTTTCAATTGCAAATGCTTGTTTGTTTGTCAAGGGGAACCTACTGATTTCTGCTCTTCTGTTTAGTTACCCAGAGAGACGGCGTCTTTTGTCTCTTCCTTGTTAGTCAATGAAGAATTTCAACTTCTACCATGCTGAAAATAAATGTTCTTTGAATTTTGCTTTAATCGCACTGCAAATGAGAACGGATTATATATTTATATTTCAACCAAACTGTCAGAACAATCTGGATTCTGTGATTTGTTTTACTAATAGAATTTATAAACTAGTTTGCCGAGGAGCTAATATTTAGGGTTTGTGCAGTGGTGGAATGAATGGATTTATGTACATCTCTGATAAGACCGTTTATTCAGAGGAAGTTTACTCTCCTATTGAGGACTTGGAGACGATAATAAACAACAATACAATGTATGTATACTTTTTTTATTTCCTTCTTTGTTTAGTCTATTGTTTGCTTAAAATAAAACCTATTTTAGAAATTTTTTAAAATTTCTAAATTCTATCTTTCGGTTGGATACAATTAGAAATCACAACGAAGGAATTGGTGGAAAGACATGCATTTTACTTCATATTTAGTTTTGGGTGTTTGATTCTACTGTAATTAGTTGGTAACTTGATTTCATTGAATGTGAGCACATGAAATTTTTACATTGAAAATTTCATACCCAATCTTGTGAAAAATGGGAGAAATGATTATCCCGTCTTTATTGTGACTAACATGATCCCTCATAAGAAACAAAAACAATTTCATATTAACCAGATAAAAAAGAAGAAATAAAAATTTTCACTCAATTTCTCATCAATCAAACAAATGGCTGAAAATGTTTTCTATTTAATTATTTTAACATTTCTAATTACATTCTTTGCTTTCATTTCCTCTCTTTTGATTCCTTCGAATCAAACAGAGTTTTGTTATTGTGCAATAGTTTACAACTGCATTATTAGTTTGAGTTTTGATTCATTTTCATTATTTTGATGTTTCGCTTTTTATGTAAACATGCTGATGCATATAGCCTTGATCTCTATGAGAAAGATTGTGTTCTCTAAAATCTATGATGTTTTGCTTGTTGCTTTTATTATTTATTTCACTGGTTGGTTTCCTTGCTGAAGTCAAGAGTTGTGGCTGCTTCATTCCTTCCTAGCCGTCTACTGAAATCAAGAACAGTGGCTGTTTGTTTTCTTTGGTATTTTGCTGTGTAGTTGTATTCGGATGTGGCTGTTTGCATTTATCTGTTTCCTTCTACACGATTTTTTATTGTAGAAGCAATTGGGATCAGGGATTGCAGTATCTTTGCACTGCATTGTAGCTGGCTTGTTTTCTTCTCCTCCTCGGTTTTTCTGTAGTGTAGTTCTCTGGTTTAGGATCCTCTGTTGGCGCTGCCTTTGGTAAAAGGTGCCTTCTTTGGCAACTGCTTTCGCTTTCTGATGTGATTCAGAAGTAAAAACAGCAAGCAAACAAGAAGAAAAAAATGCAGGAATCAAATACTAGGGCTGGTTTTGTATTTCTTCTTCAACAAGAATGAAAGATACAATTGATATGCTATACGAGAGGTAGATCAGCTCTCCCACAACCCTAGAAGTTGCTAGGAAGCTCTCCAAAATAAAACTACGGTAGAAAACAAATTGTCTGATCCCCAAAATCCAATATTCTTAGCCTTAAATAGACTCCCTTAATTCCCTCCCAAATCACCCCCCTTTCCTTAAATAATTCCTTCTCATATTTGAATTCAAATTAGATTTTTTTCCCTAATTAATTCCCTCCAAATTGTAATTAAAACTTTCCTAAATAATTCCTTCCTAATTGTAAATAAAACTTATCCCCCTCTTGATTCCTCCTCCTTACATAATGAATTATAGCTTTGTTCGGCCCCACGAGGGGCTAAAACCTCCCTGCTGCTCTGGTTTCCGCCCAACATCTCTGCTGGGTTCGGTTCTTCTGAATCGGGCAGAGTGCTCCTGTCTGTGGGCGTAACAATACTCCCCTCCCCCCCAAAAGACACAGCTTGTCCTCAAGGTGGAAGGATGAAAACTATTTCTTGATCGTATTGTAGGGCTCCGATGTTGCTTCGTTGTTCGGCAACGCCTTCCACTTGATTAGTAATTCATGTGCCCGTGTCCCCTCTATGCATCTCTATCCAGTATAATTCTATGGACAACAGACTATACGTTTTTTGAACTGTTGAATGGCCTCCAATTGTGCTGCCATGGTACTCCTGCAACAACTTGGGGATGTGCCCTGATATTCTCGGTGAGACGAATCGTCTCTGATGTAGCATCTGGGGCCCTCTTAGTGTGTAATTGTGTGACTGTCTTGGTTCTACAACAACTCAGCTTTGATCTTCCTTAGACCCTTTTTTATTTTTTATTTTTTTTTTAATTATTATTAACTTTAATAATAGATGCTGGTTCTACAATAACTCGACTTTGATCTTCCCAACAACTTGGATAATCACATTTGATGCTTCTCAGTCCCCATATTCAACGATTTCATGTTCAACTTTGTTTCCCCTATAATCTTTTCCATTCTTAAGTTAAAGAAAAAGATGCGGTCAGCTCTGCATATATTAAACCTGATCCTAAGACTAAAAAATATACATCTATACCGAAGGTATGAGATACCAGCTATCTGCTCCTGATCTTTACCTCCATATGGTTTTGATATAGATTTGAATGTTCTCTGTGACTCATGCTCATACTTTTACTTCATATAGACTAACTAAAATGTAAATAATAAAAATAAAATGTGCAAACCAATCTTTACAAAACAGAGGTTTTGGTAGTACTACTGGGCTTATGCCTATTGCGAGGAGTATGCTAAAAAAAACATTTGCGGAAGAAGCAAAGCATATATATACATTTTTATTTTATTTACGTACCCTTCTCAGTGGACATGATTCCTACGAAAGAATGCATGCATATCTCTAATTCATAATGCACACTATCACAAAACATTACAAAAATACATCATAAAATGCAGCACGCAAACAATACATACCACATTGGTTGTACAGTAAAAAATTCTAGCTACATCCTACCATAGACTAATCAAATGTCTAATGCGTTCCTAACACAACACCTAATATGTGCAAAAGTCACTATGGCCTTGGGGGTTATCTCATATAATTAGAGCAAGATTGTCAAGTCTGATCTTATCTCAAATATCCAAATAAGATAAGAACTGTCATCTTAACTTATCAGGTTTTAATAAAAGTATTAATTTGAGATAAAGTTATTTGAAAAATAGTTGTTATAGTTTTTAAAATAAATTTTATTTATTTTAAATGAAATAATATGCTTCAGAATATGACCTTATATATGATCTAGTTAATTTGATTTTAAAATAGAGTTAAATTGATATTCCTTAGATCATTACTAATCATATAGGATTTTACTTTAGCAGATTGATTATCCTTATATAACAACTATTCATTAATAATGATAATCATTCTATCATGTTTTATTTCAATCTTAGACTTAAAATTAAATCCATTAGCCAGTTCACGTGCTGACTTGAAATTGTTAATGTACATGTATGCTAATTAATATAATGGTGAAGTGATTATGTGAAAATGAGTTCACGACGCATCCAACTAAGCTTAAGTACCTAGATAAGAGTCTAAACACCTGGAAGAAAACTTTTGAGTGATCAAAAAGGGTCCAAACACTCAGTTTGTTAGGGGTATGTAAAGTATGCTTAATCAATAATAGTTTGCCCAAGCAATGAATTCTTTATGGATTCAACCCACTAAGAAGGGATGTATTCAAATATGTTTTGCCCATTTGAAATTTGAAGTGCTCAACCCATTTAAATGTGATATACGTAGGAAGAAATGGATTGCTTAAGTGGACGGGGGGGGGCTGGCTTTTGGTATGCTGGCTGCTTGGGTTCTGGGCTGGCCGAACCTTTTTTCCTTGGAATTTTCTCTTCTTTTTGGTTGGTTGGAAGGGGCAGCTACTTTGGGGTCTTTTGGACTTCTTTACCTATTCATATGGGGTGATGGCTGTTGATAAAGAGTGTTATGGAGTGATTTTTGGAAATAAAACCTGAGGGTTTTTGGATAGCTAGCAAGCTATGTATCCCCTTCTCTTCTCCTCTCTATAACTTCGTCTCGGGCTTCTTATCTATTTCTTCTCTCAGCAAGTTTCCACCCCATTTGTATCTTTCTTCTCTACAAAAGGTTTGAGGTGTTGCTGTTGGTTAGTTGGTTGATATTGAATCAAATTTTTTGTGGTGGACAGCTGGTTGGCATGTTCCTAAAGAGCACACTAATTTCTTATTTTATCGGTTACATGTGAGGTGACCACTATTTGGTTGTTTTGAGGGGATGTTCATTTTAATTTTTCTTCTCTATGTATCCCCTTCTCTTCTCCTCTCTATAACTTCATCTTGGACTTCTTATCTATTTCTTCTCTTCGCAAGTTTCCACCCCATTTGTATCTTTCTTCTCTACAAAAGGTTTGAGGTGTTGTTGTTGGTCAGTTGGTTGGCATTGAATCAAGTTTTTTGTGGTGGACTGTTGGTTGGCATGTTCCTAAAGAGCACTCTAATTTCCTATTTTATCAATTACATGTGAGGTGGCAACTAGTTGGTTGTTTTGAGGGGATGTTCATTTTAATTTTAGTTTTGTCGAGTCTCTCCAAGCTTTTAAATATCATATAAGTTGTAACTTGTGTCTTTGTATGTTCAAGTTTTAGTCCAAGTATAAGTTGTGTTAGTTTTATTTTACAAGTTTGAAAGTCATATTGTTTAAGTTTGTCCTTAAAGTTGTTTTGGTGTTCTCCAAATTGCTTTTGGAGCTTGTTTTGTGTTTTATCTTAAATTATATGGAGTGTGTTTTTTGGCATTTTGCATATCGAGTTTCTCCCTCTTGGTTGGGGAATTTTCTTGATTGCATCAATTTCCAGCTAAGATATGAATGAGTGGATCAATATATTTGACTTGACACGCTTCTGAGATTTTCATCCAAGTGAGTGTGGTTTTCCTAGATAATTTCTTGGACAAATATAGATTTGCCCACGTGAAAAGAGAGTATTTAGATGAACGTGGTTCACTTGGATATAGAATTGAGGTATATATACAGATTTGAGTTTGATTTTGCTCAAGTTCTAATTTTAACCTAGGTAAGTGTGAATTTCCTAGGAGAGGTGCTGGTGGTCAGGAAGAGTATAGTCTGATTGGTGCAGAAGGGCTCAAATACGTTAAGCTTGTTCAAGCACAATGAAGGTTAAGAGGGCTTAGATGTGGCCAATTTTTTTGAATTTCATGTATGCTTGGATGCCAGAAAATTGCTAATTAGATGAGAATGTAGGAATGATCAGCAATGATCAATATTTTGGTCCAATGAAAGTGAAAATTCATGTCACGAAGGGACACCCTAAGATTGATTTGAAGATAGTGGGAGAATGACCTCCACATTTCAAAGACAAGATCACCCTAAATGTTTGCGTATTAGGGATGTGAATGTGCTCAGATGTGCTCTGGAAGGCTTGATTTATATCGTTCAAAACCCACCCTGCTCTATCAGATTTGTGAATAAATCTAGGTCAAAGGTGTGCATAATAAAGAACCTTGATTATTTCTAATGTTATGCATGTCAAAATGATGTGCGCAAAGAGGAGCATGTTCATCCTAGGGCAAGCCTAAGTTAGCCTATGTCAAGTCAGGGGATTGGCCTAGATTAACCAAACAAGACTAGCCTCTATGTGTGCAAGTGTTTTCTAATGCATTAAAATTTAAAAATTTAATAACATCTCATTGATTCAAACTCAATTTGTTACATTAGGGAAACAAACATATTTTCAAATTTTAATGAAAATGATGCAAATTAAAGTCTAATGGATCGGGTTAATTGAATGGAATACATGACAACAATGCAGCTCTTGGCTCAATCAACCAACAAAATTTAAGTAATTCTAAATACCCTAAGTTTGCTTATTGGTGTATTTTATGTATATGTGTTCATTAATGCATCCATAATATGATGTTAGATATATTAAAAAAAACTATTGTTATTCTTTTCTTATTTTATATATAATAAAAAAACTACAATGCATGATAAATGTTGAGGATTGATTACAAATTTTGAACTAGAAATCTGTTTTTAGAAACAGTAATTAAAAATTATATTCATGCTTTCAATATAAAATATACTTTCAGAAAATTTTCAATTTGGATCAATAATTTGGTGGAGTTTTATTTGTTTTTATTTTCGAGAGAAAATTTGTCTAACTAATAATCAATGAACTGCAAATTTTGATATTTTATGTTTATTTTTGCACCACATCTTATGTTTTTGTAAATTCAAAACCCTATGACGTCATGGATGATATTCCCGTTTGAGAAGTGGGATTATTTTATCTTCTGTATTGTTTATAAATGCATTCAATTAATTTTTACAGATTTGTATATTACAAGAGCCTTGCAACCAAAACACACGTGCCCAGACCACCAGAGGGTGTAATTTTCCCAGCAAAAGTTTGCAATCTGAGCCTCATTCTTCACATATGTCGATTCCACTTCAACACTTCGCTAACCATTTGTACTTGTCTTGCTTATCTCCAGTCAATCTCCATACGAGATCTGCAGCAAATTAAAAGAAGATTCTGGCACGAGACACCGATAACACCAAGTTTTGGCTTCTTGAGAAGGTACTATATTGTGCCTAAAATTCGTTATTTGATCTGGGGAATTTAAACTATGCTTTTTTATGCTGTATACTGCCATGGTTTGAGCCACTTTCTAAGTTGCCCATTCACAGAACATAACATTAAAATTTAAGACTGCATAAAATAGCAGCCGTCATAGGCCCCTTTTGAAGGGCCTACTTAATGCATGAAACTCCTAATGTTTGATCTTCTAATTTTGTCTTGGAACCTCCTCTTAAGGCATGATTTCTAAATTATTTATTTGACACGAATCTGAGGAAATTATTATGTGCGGAGTCCAGACACAAAGATACGTCCGGAAAACCACTTAAAATGTGACACGTGGAGTGCGCTTTTGTTGCACTTTTTTGTGCAATTTATCTACACTTGCGATTTAGTTGCACTTTAGTTGTGTTTTGATTGCTCTTTTGTTGCGTTTTTTTATTGCGCGTTACCTGCTCTTTATTTGTGCTTTACCTATGCTTTGGTTGCGCTTTTGGTGCGCTTGGCTTGAAGTTTCGCGGACAGATTAAATATATAAAGTAAAAAATTAAATTCAATTGAATATCCACGTGCCCATTCCACATGTCAACATTTTATTGGAGTCCAGGCGTATCTCTACTTCGGACTCCGCACCTAATATTTCTCCTCCATAACAGCTTACTAAATACAACATAAGAAATATTTTTCATTTTATTAATAAGTAGAAGTTTTAAGCTTCGTTTGGGACTGTTTTCTTTTTCTAAAGCAACTTTCTAACTTAATTTTTATATTAAAAAACTACTTTAAGAATCAGAAAGAAAGCTGTTCAAACCAAAACTTAATCTAACTTCATTTAAACATTTGCTATATTTGTTTATACAGGCTGACATACTGATGATTTTTGCTTCTATCTATTGTAACGTGTTTTGTTAAATGCCTTGCAGACCTGTTTCTAGAAATGTATATGCAAAGCAGTCATCGCAAATTTCCCGGCGACCTACAGTTTCAGAACATTTGCTTCACCGGAAACAACCAAACAATGGAAGCGAACAAAATGGGAGAACTAACAATAAGGTCATACTGGGAAAAAGGAAATGGAGTAGTTGGAAAGGCCGTGGTGGCAGTGGCCGTCAGAAGAGAAGAAACTGAGCTTTTTATTTACTATTTTTAGCCCTCTTTTCTTTGAATGTATCATCAGCTTCTTTTGATCTGAAGTTATTTTTATTCTGCTGGGCGACCTAATTTGTTTTCTTAATATTTATTACATTATTCTGATCCTCATTTAGTTGGATAATGGTAATGGTGATCTATTATGTTACTCTGTTAGATTGAACTCATGAAGAATATTGGATTGATGAATTTTGTGTTGGCTTGTTTTTATACAAAGTACTGTTGATTTCATCCTTAAGGCAACATGGTTCTCATTTTGATGTTTAAGATGTATATGTTGATGTATTTTTAAAGAAATATGAAAACAAGAGCTAATTAGGTTTTGTTTGGGATAATTTTTTTTTTATTTTTTAAAACAATTTTTAATATATATATATATATATATATCTCCATCGGTTTACATATGTATTGTTTAAAATATTTAAAATATATTTCCACTAGATATTATTCTTAATATATGTTATTTATGTTATATATATTAAGAATTATATCCTATAAGATGATACATATGGTCGAGATAATATAGTACCAATTAATTAAGATTCAAGGTTAAAAAAAAAAATTGGGGCATTTTCTCCAGTTATTCATATGAAAACTATTTGGTTAATTATTTCTTTTGCTTCACAAAATAATCGATCTATTTACAAATGGATGTTAAATCTGCATTTTTAAATGGATAAAGAAGTTTTTATCGAACAACCATTAAGATATATTAAGAAAGGGCATGAATCAAAAGTTTATAAATTAAAAAAATGTTTTATATGGGTTAAAGCAAGCTCTAAGACTCTTAGACTAAGAGCATGGAATGCAATAATCGATTCATACTTCAAACAAAATAATTATATCTCATGCTCTTATCAGAACGCTCTCTATGTGAAGAAATATAATAGAGATAGATTACTTGTTGGTTTATATATGGAATTGTGGATGATCTTATTTTTACTGGTAATAATTTACTTTTATTCAAGGTGTTTAAGCAAACTATGGTAAAAGAATTTGAGATGATAAATTTTAGACTCATGTCATTTTTTCTTGGAATTGAAGTAAAGCAAGATAAATAAGGAATATTTATCACACAAGAAACATAAGAAAAGGAAGTTCTAAAAAAATTTAACATGAAAAATTATAATCCAGTAAGCACTCTAATAGAATGTGGAATCAAACTATCAAAGAAAGAAGAAAGGAAGATAGTAGATCCAACTATGTTCAAAAGTTTAATCGAAAGCCTGAGATATCTAACAGTTATAAGACCGGACATTCTATATGTAGTTAGAATTTTTAGCCGCTACATGAAAATTCCCACTAAGACACGCCTATAGACAGTCAAGAGAATTCTTCGATATATTAAATGTACACAAAATCATGGACTTTAATATTCTCATTCTAAAGAATTTCAATTTTAAGGATATTCAAATTGTGATTGGGCTGGAGACCATGATGATAGAAAAAGTACAAGTAGATTTTTCGTTTTTTCTTAATATCTTTTATAATAATTTGCAATGATAAATTTTTAAATTGATCTCATTTAAAAAAAAAAAAACAAAATTTGGTAGAATTTAATATTCAAGCAAATTAGGACTAAAGAGGGTCCTTCGGCCCCCCTTACCTAACTATGGTGCACTGACTACTGTCATCTAATTATGAGCTTCAAGCTACAATCACTCACTTATAATCCTTTTATCATTCTTATTTGACTATGATTCTCTGAAATTTATCACTCGATTATGTTCTATGCGCTCTTCCAACTTTCAACATGTAATGCATTATATATTTACTATATACTAACACTATCCCTCACAAGTAGCATCATTTGTAATCTATGAAAAACACCTGTTGAATTATTTTAATTGGGTTAAATCATATGAATTTTTTTCTAGATTTCCATCTAAAAAGCCTAGAGTTGCTTTATCTTTGCATTTATTAGATCTTTGTACGATGCCATAAAAATAAACAGGTTGACTCTGCCATCGTAAAGTGCTAACATGTAACAAGTCTTGTTTGGAAATCACAATGAAGAGAAATGTTGGTAAATTGTCAACTCAAACAATTTCTATTATTGTAGGGTGAAACATAGTATAACATCCTTCATAAAATAATTAGAGGGAGCCACAGTATATTATAGTGGATTAAGTCATTAAAGACATCAAAGGAACACATGATGTGATGTTTGACTATAGTCAACATCATTAATGTTGTTGCCTTTGTGAGTAATAGAAGGAATGAGTTATGATATATTACGTGTGGTCATCGGAAGCCGTTTGAAGACCAATCAGAATGCGTCATGTCACTAATTTATTGTGTATCGTTATTATGTAACGCTGTGTATCAGGTGACATATCGCGTCCTGATTGGCCTCCGAACGGTCCGGTGACCGCACATAATAATTTCTCATATCCAGCAGTAGCAGTGACACAAATTCAAAGGTTGCACAAACATGTAAATCAATTATTAGTGGACTGATAAACAATTATCAACAATAACTAAATGTGCAAGGAAGGCTACAAAATGTGTTTTGGCCAAATTGAAGGCAATAACATGTTATTCATTTTCAATATTGTTGCGTCCTGGAGTATTCGCGGTGGTAGAGAAATATAAAGTTTAACGCCTAAACTTTGTACGAAAATCTGGCACGCAATCAGATAAGAGGGACGGTGTAGTATTTATGAGACACCAAGATTTTTACGTGAAAAATCCCTAAAAAGGGGAAAAATCACGGGGTCTAGCCCAATTTGAATGAATCCAATAGTATTGCAGTTGATTACAAATGATGCCCTTCCTTGGGGAAAGGCCTTGGCTTTATGTATACCATATGGAGTACATTACATTGAAGGAATACAAAGAATCATTGTTGATGTGTTCTTTTGGTCAGAAGGACCATAGTCTGGTGACGGATGTTAGAAGAACCGTAGTCGGCGGGCAACAAATGTCATAAAGACCGTTGTCTGGCGACGGAGGTCGGAAGGACTATAGTCGATGGACGACATAAAATAGGAGGACAGTAGTCGGCAGGCGACGAAGGTCGAAAGGACTGTAGTCGGTGGGCGACGTAACTTAGGAGGACCATAGTCTGCAAGTGACGGAGGTCGAAAGGACTGTAGTCGGTGGGTGACGTAAGTAATCCCATTCACAAGTAGAGATTCTTACGCTTTGGACTCCATAGTAAGCCTTCAAGCTCCAGTGTGAGGATCCTTCCCTTGAATGCACTCTTCCACTCTCTCCTTGGCTATTCTCTCAAGAGAGCATAAAAAGATCAATGACAAAATTATGGTGTCAGTCCAATTTTGGACTATTATAAAAAGTAAGGAAACCAAACGCAAAAGCAAGTTTTGCCAATTCGTCGCAGTGGATCGTCCCGTCGATCGTGGATGCGTCTCACGTGGACGTCGTAGTTTTACTTAAAACAATTTGAAACCACCTATTTGTAAGTGTCGAAATTCTTTCTACAACTGATCCTTCCGTAACACTTAGTTTCCGGTACGAACGGTTATTATAGGTCGGTTCTAGAAAATCTGCTGAAGACACTTTCTAAGTCGGTTATCATTTGGAGAAATTGAATCGTCGGACAAAATTGTTTACAGAGAAGAGATGTCTGGAGTATTTATTTCGTATGGACGAAAATTTTTACAGAGGAACCATCATATTACGATAATTATTTACGTCTGTGATGAAATGTATACAGAGAACGCAGATCGTCCTTGGATCGATATTTATCTTTCGTTTTAGACGAAAATTTAACAGAGGACCATCGCATGTCGTAATTTATGTCTGGATGAAAATTGTTACGAGGCAATCATCCTGGACGATAAATTAATTTCGAATCTGGAACTGAATAGAAACTTAACGAAAAAATTTTAAGAGATTCTCTCGCTTCATGTGCTCAATGGAGATATGTCTGATGTCCGGTTATGACGGTATATCCCGTAGATCAGTATAAATTTTATATGACTCCTTATGTATGTGTGTATGTTTTTTATTGCACTCAAATTACAATCATCCCTTTCATTTTTTTTCAAAGAAAAGTACAGCTTCAATTTACATAAAGTATTCTCATGT